GTGGGTTGGAAAGGGGGAACCAATTACAAGGATCTACATGTGACCTCCTCCCTGGGGGACAGACAACAGAAAAGTGGGTGAAGGGAGATGTTGGACAGGGCAAGATATGACAAAATAATAATTTATAAATTATCAAGGGTTCATGAGGGAGGGGGGAGCGGGGAGGACGGGGGAAAAAATGAGGAGCTGATGCCAGGGGCTTAAGTGGAGAGCAAATGTTTTGAGGATGATGAGGGCAATAAATGTACAAATGTGCTTTACACAATTGATGTATGTATGGATTGTGGTAAGAATTGTATGAGCCCCTAATAAAACGATTAAAAAAATATCGCCAAAAATACCATGGAACATATCTGTAGAGACCGGACAGGAGAGGAGGAGACAAAGGGAGCCATGGAGACATAGAGGCAGAGCGAGACTGGGATGGAAAGACAGAAGGAGACAGACAGAGTGACACAGACAAAGAGGCAGGGAAAGAGACAAAGATAGAGGTGGCGGAGCAAGATAAAAAAGAAAGGAAGGAGAGAGACAAATCGAGACCAAACTGATGCTGGAAGAGACTCAAGAGGTAGAAGGGAAGAAAGGTGGAGCTACGAGGAGACAGTCAATTAGAGAGGAACGTACTTAAATTTTCAAGCAACATAACTAAATGAGTGTTTTCAAGGCATATCAAACTATTTTCCATAGAGGTTACAGTCCCACCAGCCACAGGTGAGGACTCCCCTCGCTCCAGAGCCTCGCCAACATATGTTCTTGTCTATTATTTTTGGTTATTGTTGTTAAAAAAGGAAACAAACAACCCTAGACATCCTAGTGGGAATGAGCTGATGGCACCACAATGGTGTGATCCCTCTTAGATGAAATACCTAGAGTCTACATGTGTATGGAGCCGTGGTTCTAACCTTCCTAATGCTGCGACCCTTCCATACAGTTCCTCATGTGTGGTGACCCCCCTCAACCATAACATTATTTTTGTCGATTCTTCATCACTGTCATTTGCTACTGTTACGAATCAGCCACCGCTGTGAAAGGGTCGTTTGACCCCCAAAGGGGTCGCGATCCACAGGATGAGAACCCCGTTGATTAGTGGTCAGCAGGCAGAGGGAGGAGGAAAGGAGATCTTTTTGTTGTTGTTGTGTACACTTAATTTTTTTTGAAATTAGGGGCTCATACAACTCTTATCACAGTCCATACATACATCAATTGTGTAAAGCACATTTGTACATTCATTGTCCTCATCATTCTCAAAACATTTGCTCTCCACCCAAGCCCCTGGCATCA